CTGCCACCTGACTGGAGGGACCTGCACTTAGCCAGGGAGCCCAGGAAGCTACTGAAGGGCTTCAGGAATGTTTTCTGGGGCAGTACTCAGAGCTACGTGCTGCCTGAGGACCACAACTTAGCTCCAGGAATTGCCCCTTGTCCCTCCTGGGGATGCTGCCATCTGAGCGAAGACTTCTGCCTCCCTTTGGCCTGCCTGCCGCTGACCAGGACTGGATGTTACCACTATAGAGCGTGCCCCTGGGCTTCCAGGCCTTGGGGTGGCGCAGCTCTTGGCTGCTGAGCAGTTACTATGAGTAGGTGACTTAGAAGTTTGGAGCCACAGAGTAAAGTCATCGCACCCGATCAGGACGGCCCAGGGCCCCTAAGGCCCAACCTGTCGGGGATCTGAGAGGAATGTTTTTAATTTTAGCACTCAACACCCAGGCACGGAGCGTGGCGTCAAACGTTGGTACTGGAAAGAATGCCATGAACTTTTCTAATAACTCCTGCTGCCTCCTGGCAGGCATAACCCAGGAAAACCAGCTGACCCGGGGGCTTGTCATGCTAAGTAATTAATGTGTGATGGCACTCAGCTCAAAACGATTTAGTGACTAGTGAAAAAGTAAGACATAATGCTGAAACTTACATGAAAAGCACAAATTGTGTAGATTAGGTGGAATTATTGGACTTTCTAGGGCATATTCAGTGCAACGGGAGGCAGATGGCAGGTTGGTTTCTGTCTAATTTCTTTAATGTACAACTCTATGACCAGGTGACCCTGGCCCAGGGTATTCCTGTGTGCCCTTCCTAATCCTAGGTACTCTCAGTAAAACTTTAACTCGGGTTCTCTGGCTACAAAATAAAACTCTCCACGCCTGGAGATGAGGGAGAAGCTGGAGTTGGTCTTGCCAATGCTACAAAAGTGGAGAGGAGGCGTCTGAAATGAAGTGAGAAGGGCGGGGATTTTCCCTGAAGTCTTTTGTTCTCAGGGAGAACACTCCCCACCGTGCCTCTGGGAGCCTGACCGGGGCGCTGGCCAGGTCCTGCACAGCGAGACTGTCACCTTCTCCCTGGTCACTGAGTAATATCTGTTCATGGCGATCCTTATCTGTTCCTTCCTGCTCCGTAGGTCCGAGTTGGTGAATGCATTAGGGTCTTGACAGATGACTTTTAATTTTTAAACTACCTGGTCTAGGACTGGGAGTTAGAAACCCCCACCTTGGTGCCCAGAACCCACCTCAGAAACGAATTTTTCATCATTTTGATTGTGATTTTCCTTTTCTTGAGTTTTGGTGGTTGAGGTAGATGTGGCCAGCATGGGTGAAAGGGAAAATGTCCATTTCACCAGACCTGGCTGTACCACACGGCCACGTGGACACTTGTGTCCTCTTCCCAGTGACCTCCCCCACTTTCTTCTCCCTCCCCCTTCCCTTTCCCTCCTTCCCTCCCTCCCTTTCTTCTTTTACTAAGGACTTAGTCCGAACCTGAAGAAAAAACCCAAGGATGCCCACTTCCCAGTCAGGGATGTAGATATTTCGCTAAGGTCTCACCAGACCCTGTGTTTTTTAACCCTGCCCTTCGCTCCCTGCTCCTTCCGTAATATTTGGAATACTGAGAAGTTAAAGCTAATGTGCTCTTGTGAAGAATGTGGATTCTACCCCCAACTCAGGGATGTTAAGTTTTAACAATTCCTACGGGAACATCTTTGCATATGAGAGATATTTGGAAAGATGGAGAAAACTGGGATGCAAGTCGATTCGTTGAATAGAGCCACACCTTGGCAGGTCGAGGTGCTGTTTTACCTCCAGCTCTGGATAAACCTGACCTGGCACATCGACGTGCATTCTCCACAGCGGAGTGGAGCCTCCCTGTGAAACAGAGTCGGTAGGCTTGATAATGTGCTGTTTCCACAAACATCTTACTACGATCATTTGCAATAAAAATCTATGAAGAGAACCAGAGCTAGCCCACGCAAAAACTGAGAGCAAAGGTTTTCCTCAATCCTTATCTTTTGACAAGAGGTCTTATTTTAGCTTTCATGAAATTTACTATACTAGAACCTTCTTAGCATTGTAATTCTATCCCACTGAAGGAAAGATCTATGAGTAGCTGTGGCCACCGTGGACCAACGGGATGGAAGGGTACAGGCAAAGGTGGTGGCTGCAGTGAGGGCTCACCCATCGGTAACCCTCCCCCAGGTTCCAGATGAGGATGTCTACCACTGGGCTTTGCTCAGAGTAGGAAGAAGAGAGACTCAGCCTCTACAACAGGGATAGCTGGAGGAGACAACCAGCAGCAAGAAGCCTGGGGCATCAGGGGCAGTGTGGAGACTAATTTTTGGAGTTTTCAGATGAGCAGGTAATAGGTGTTATGAACACACCAAGCTCTCAGTTTGCCTGATTTAGCTTCTTAGGAGAGTCCATTAAGAATGGCCTTTACCCTCATGTCTTTAAGTACACTTATATGCTCTCTTGCCTACTTTTTGCTATTTTTTTTTAATAAGTGATTGTGCCTCATCAAATGGTAATGAGCCAAAGACCTGATCCAGCTTATGTAAGAAATATAAATTAAGGTCCTAAATCACTGCGCTAAAGCTTGGGCAGAAAAGTTGAAGCTATACGTGCATCTTGGTAACTGCTATTTTAATTTTCTGCAAAACTGAGATATATGCCATCAGACAAAATTTGCTAACAGCCTCACTCATTATTCCACATTCCTGTTGCTGCTTGTGGAGATGCCTGCTTTCCTTCTAGGCTCTCAAAATTGCAGCCTTGGCCAATTAATCTGCTAACACCAATAGAAACCCAAATACTTGTTGTATCATCCAATGACTCATGGCAAAAAAGAAAAACACCGTACTTGAACATGATAAAATACTATAAAAATATTATTTTAATTTCCTGGGAAATTTAACTATTTGAAGAAACACTTCTATTATATATTTTACCTGATTTTCACTTGTATTTAACTATTTAAGAAAGTTCATGAAAATGAGGTGAAAACATACAACATTCTCCATGAGCCAAACCTAGGAGATTCAATATTGCCCCAAGTGAAATAGCTAAATTCAATGGATTTTAATTACTTTTGTCCCCATGGGCTTTTTCCTCCCTTTAATTTCTATTTTCCCCTTAGGTTGCCATGACTAATTTGCAAGTTTAGTCCCAACTATCAATGAAACTAAACAAAATGTATGACAGGCAAGATGATTAGGTGCCACCTTTCGACAGAGCAGGCTAAGAAAAGTGTTTGTTTTCAGTGTCAGCCTGTGTCAGTGCGTGGGAATGAGGAAGCGGTTGAGGGTCACCCACGGCCATGTCTGGGCCCTGCTGGCCTTGGATGCTGCTCTCTCCCCCCTGTCACTGGAATCCAGGCTTTTTCACTGTCAGGCATCTTGTGAGGCAGCTCCCACCCCCATTTTCCATTCCCAGCTTGTTCAGAAACCATATTTTCTTGACTCTGAAAATAACAGCACATTTTTACAGGGCAGCAGTAACTTACTAGGACACGTTTTTTCTTGAATGAATCCTGAGGTCTCGGAAGCTGCCCGTCCCTGCCTACCATGTTTTCTCTGTAGCGCTTTCTCAATAGCTCTTTTGGGCATGGAGATTCTAAGTGTAAAGCTTGAACACTGCCCAGTGGAAGCAGCATCCTTACCGAAAGCCTCCTTAATGTTGGCTTAGACAGGAAATGGAAACGGCTGTATTATCCATCCTTTAAAGCATTTCTAGTGCTCAGCCTCCATGAAATGAATTGCTTACGGGGAGATAAAGTCTGTTCTATTCCTTTTTAAGTCTGTGAAAAATGTCATCCTGGTTAATAGGGTGATTAAAACTCTTTATGCTCCAGGAGATAAATGTGATTATGTTTGTCATACTCTACCCAAGATAAAGACAGCAAAGAAGGCAAACTTGAAATTCCATAACATTTCTTCTCTTCCCTATCCAGGAACATTCAGAACTCAGTACACAGATGGTACTTCACATAAAGAACAACATTATCTGTTAAACATTTTTCCTTTCCATTAACCAATTTAACAATATGCCTCTGGTATAAAAGGAATACACAAATGACTAAATCTTCTGATATCTGAGTTCTGACTTTAGAAAAACACTGCTTTAGTCACATTTCCTGTTTTCTTTTTTAATTTTTATCTTTACTTCATTTTTGCTTTTAAAATGTAATTGGAGCCCTTCCTTGCTACAGGAATCTGTCCTGTCAACCTTCCTTCAGCAAGTAATTCAGTCATCCTTGTGGAAGTCCCCTGTCATCCATCAAGGACAACAGAAGTAACGTGTAAGGAAAAGGCTCAGCCACACAGGTAAGCATTCAGACACTCCTTCCCTCAACCTACGTTCACTCGGGGGAAGACCTCCTCCGTGCCAGGCCACATGGCCCCTGGCTCCCCCTAGGGTCTGGCTGCCATCAGCCCAGTGTATGGCAGCCCCTGCCGTCCCAAGTTTACAAGGCCCTCAGAGGGAGTTCCTACCCTCAAGCAGCTCATAAGGCAGAAATCTATTAAGCAGAATCACAGTTAATAATGATTTCTCCTTTTATCACTCCAGACAAGGTAGAAAGTCTCATTTTCTCCTACCCAGTGGAGGTCTTTTAAAAATCAATAGGCATTCTCCATCTAAGAAAAACAAAAATCCAGATTCTAGCTGTAAACAGTTTCAGGTAGTGAGCATTCGATTAAGGGGATCTAGCCTCAGACTAACAATGGGGTCAAAACCCTGTTCAGTTTGGCTTCAGCCTTTCCTTTGTTTCACAGCAAAGACTTAGTTAAAAATCAAAGACTGGCAAAGAGTTTTTTGCTATTCCACATATGCTGATAAATTTCATAATCCTTTCCTTTTAGCCTTGGGTTTTATCAGGTTACATATGAATTGTAGATGCTGACTACACCTGTTTTAATTAACAATACAGCAATTTCTACAGGGTAACACGGTCTAGAGAAAAATGTTACATTATGCATTTGACATTTCACTTAAAAATTTCCCTTAGAACTGAGAGATTTCATTATAATACAGAAATTTCAAATGTACTTTATTAAACCTGATTGCTGACTAATTAGAGCCTAAGCAGTTATAAAGAAATTGCACAACTGATATCAACTAGAAGTTATTTCTCCAAACACACTGACATATTAAAGTATTTCTATTCTTTATATTTTAATCTCCAGTAAAAATAATTGCATGTACGTATTATTATCCACCTGTTTTCTGTAAGAGATTAAGGAAGACAGGACAGAGTTGGGTGTGTGTGTGTCTATTCAATGGGTCTTGAGACTCATTGAATAGACACACTGAGGTACCATTGCCTTTAGGAGTCTGTTTATAAATATTTTCTATCATACTCTTTAAGGTACAAAACTTGGTTTCAACTGTTATAAACAGAAGGATCCTCTGGGATCTCCTCCACACAGGAAAGTTACACCTATAATTATTATTTTCAAATATGCTTCTGAACCTTGGGGAAATTTTACCCCCTTCCAACACACACACACACACACTCTGTAGACCTCTCATGTCCAGCGCGCGCACACATGCACACACATACGCACGCACGTGCGCGCGCACACACACACACACAGTAGACCTCTCATGTCCAGCGCGCACGCACACACATGCACACACACATTGCAGACCTCTCATGTCCAGCACGTGCGCGCGCGCACACACACACACACACACACACACTGTAGACCTCTCATGTCCAGCACATACACACACCCATAGACCGCTCATGTCCAGCCCATGGGTTCGGTCAACAACCTCCATATGTTCCCCAGGAGAAATCAACCCCAGTCCCTCTGCTGCTGTGGTGTCTCCAAAGCCACCCTTTCTCTAACTCTCTGGAAGTTAAACCTGATTGCTGACTAATTAGAGCCTAAGCAGTTATAAAGAAATTGCACAACTGATATCAACTAGAAGTTATTTCTCCAAACACACTGACATATTAAAGTATTTCTATTCTTTATATTTTAATCTCCAGTAAAAATAATTGCATGTACGTATTATTATCCACCTGTTTTCTGTAAGAGATTAAGGAAGACAGGACAGAGTTGGGTGTGTGTGTGTCTATTCAATGGGTCTTGAGACTCATTGAATAGACACACTGAGGTACCATTGCCTTTAGGAGTCTGTTTATAAATATTTTCTATCATACTCTTTAAGGTACAAAACTTGGTTTCAACTGTTATAAACAGAAGGATCCTCTGGGATCTCCTCCACACAGGAAAGTTACACCTATAATTACTATTTTCAAATATGCTTCTGAACCTTGGGGAAACTTTACCCCCTTCCAACACACACACACACACACACTCTGTAGACCACACACACACACACACACACACTGTAGACCTCTCATGTTCAGCACATACACACACCCGTAGACCGCTCATGTCCAGCCCATGGGTTCGGTCAACAACCTCCATATGTTCCCCAGGAGAAATCAACCCCAGTCCCTCTGCTGTTGTGGTGTCTCCAAAGCCACCCTTTCTCTAACTCTCTGGAACTTGTCCACACTCTTCTCATTTGGATTTTAATGCTTCCTCCCACTCAATCGCCGATTCTGAGTTCTTGGGAATTGTTGGAAATATTGATTGCATTTTACTTCGAAAGTCTTTCATCTAAAAGAGAAAATATATATCTATCAGTCATCGATTGCTAGAAGAAGAAAACAGCCAAAGCTATTAGAGACAGCACCTTCACTGACTGGATAATACTTCACTGCTGTTCAGGGGTACAGAGCAAAAAAATACCAATAAAATGTAATGACTATATTCTGGGTACCCTGAAAGAAAATGAAATACACCTTTTTTCTTCTTGTAAGTATAAACCTATTATCTAAATAACATAAAACTTCACTCTTAATCAGGAAGGCAACATGCCCTAAACTGTCAACCCTCCATGATATTTATCATACCAGAAGAACA